GATCCAAGGGGGAGCTCAGCACGTTCATCATCTTCTACACTATCCTATCCTCCTGAAAACCGCTTATGCCATTCAAACACATGTGTTTGAGACAAAGTTTCCTCTCCATAATCCTCGGTTAATATTTAAAATTTTTTCCTCCGTGGCTGATTTCTTAAGTTTCACAAGGAAGTTGAGGTTGATTAACTGTTCGGGTTTTACATTAGACATTTTTCCGGCAAAATGCAGTTGCTCGTGTTCATTCAATGACGCAGTACTCCCCACTGGCGTGGTCAGTTAAATCGAAACTGACCGTATGGATAGAGAAGGTGTGTGGTATGATGTCACCAAAACAGTTGTTGGCAACTCCACCCTGTTTTCAAGCTACACAGTCTCGTTTTGTGTCACACCTCGTATATCGAATAAATTATAGCTAGTAGTCATCAAATTTAGAGTCTTTTCCTAACAGAAAAAATTCGTAACAGACAGCAATATAATAGACAGCAATTAAAGCAATATTTCAGTGAGAAATATCCAGTTATTTTCTGCCTAAATTACGCTCAGTAGCTTCCACATTAAAATCACAGTTAGTAAATAATTTCTTTGCTATTAAATCAAAAAATGAATCGTCTCCTTTTTTTGTTGCTTCAGAGGACATATTTCTTTCCCGTATTCTTATCTGCAGCAGCAAATACCGAAAACCAATCCTTAATGTCACCGCAGAAATTTTTGTCCATTTATCAAGCTCATTCTTTGGGTAAATTATTTCCTGTCCTCTAAATCAAAGTAGAGATTAGTGATTATTACATTAAGCTGTTTCCGAAGGTATTACAGATATAAATGTCTCATTTATCCAATACTTAATTCTTCTATACATTTGAATTTTAAGACTTTTCCAAGACAAATAAACATCATCTTATCGTTTTTTTAGTATCTAATCCTTATATTTTAGTGTGGTTAAAATTTGCATTTTTAAAAATTATTTTCCTAATGAATTCCTTCAGATAACTCTTTGACAAAGTAAAATGTTTTGTGAAAGGACCTGTGATTTTTCTCTCAAATTATAACAAATCTGTTAATATCTTTTATGTATGAGAAGAGGAGGGATAAAAAAAATTCAAAATCTTCGTAAACTAGCATCATCGGATTTCATCGTTACTACTTTAGCATCAACTGGAAACACAAAATAAATGCCTCATTATTTGAATATTTTAAAATCCAAAATCTCATTTTTGAAGATGTTTTTATAATTTGTAAGATTCCTATTTTTGAGTTACAGCTAAAGTTGAGGAATCTTAAGAACTGGTAAGAGAATAATCGCTTAGTTCAGAGAGATACTAGAAACGTAAACGTACGAAGGGTTAATTACCCTTTATTATTCAAAATAAATTTAACAAATGACTCATTTTTTGGAGTTTACAATAAAGCCTCCCCTTGCACTTGAACTCAGAAATGCTAAAAAATAAGCTTAACTAATCTTAACTAAAGAGATATAGCCGAAGCTATCAAGATTCTAACAGAGGTGGCCCCTTAACGCTAACTAACGGCGAAGCTATCAAGGGCCTACAGTACGACCGAGCGTAATAATATCTCGTGGGAGACTGGCCAAAAGGCTAACGCGCGCTGCTCAGAATGACTGGCTCTCTAATGAAGTCAGTAGAACAGTCACAGTTACTCTTTCTCATCATCATTTGCATTTTACCGGGATTTTGAAAACACGTTCTGGCCGGTAGCTGTAAGCTGAAATTCAAAAAGGACAGGAAATTAACTTACCTAAAAACTAACTGTTAGAAAAATTAAGATAAACCTTACAATCTACTAAATTTTATGTAAAGTAAATTCGAAAATAAATTTTATGTAAAGTTCCAATTCGAGTATAATCGTGACTTCTTTCATTTTGTATTTTAGGATGAAAACGCTTGAGCTTGTTTTTTTATGAATGGTTTTTGTTTTTGCTGTCTAATTAATGACATTTTCAAATCCCCCTTTGTTTTCAACTAGAAAGAGCAGAAAATGACAAATTATACAATAATTTATTATCTACTAATCTCGTTTTTGATATTAAGGACGCGAAAATCACTCAGGTTTAATGCAGCCGAATACTTACTAGCGAAAATAAAATAAAATGGAAAATAAAAATAATTTTTTCTTTCTTGGTTTAAAAAACATTGAGCTATTTATGACGTCCTAATACCTACCTTCTTATTCAACATTTTGTTTGCTATTCAATTTAATAATTAAGGTCATAAATGATTTTAAGATGATGGTTATCTTTTCGAGAGTGCCTACCAAAACCGAATTTCACATTTAGTAAAAAAAACATTTCTCTCCAAGAAGTAATATTTTAGACATTTAGATTACTAGTACTTCTCCTTCAAAATCTGATAAAATAAGTAAGTAAGCAAAACCACAAATTTGATTAAAATTACTGAAAGTAATTAGAAATGTATGTTACATAAGCAGCCTAATTGAAAACTCAATAACTCTTTAAGTAAATCCATTATCTTATTCTAACATGTGAAAGGAAACTTATCTGAAAGTACTAAGTGGTAATGAAATCATGTATCTTGCAAATAAAATATTTTTTTAAACTTTATTTAATTGTTCATTTTGTTGTTTCTTTTGCCAAATAACATTTGGGTTATTCATGGTAATGAAAACAATTTGTAATGACCATTGTAAAGGATTTTTACAATAACAATGGACTTTAATTATCTTTGGAATTAAAACAAGTAAGAATGATAATAAACCTATTTAGTCAATTCAGCAGTCTAGATTAAAGCATTGTGAGATTTTATAAATTATCGTAAAATTTAAGTAATTTCTAATGAGTTTTAAATTCTTTTCAATGTAAATTCAATCAGAAAACCAAATATTCTTAGAAACCCATTTCTTTCAAAATTAGAAATACTAATGCATTCAGTTTACACTATTTAAAACTATCTGCAACACAAGGCTGGGTTTACAGTTGAACAATATTTTGACTCTAATATTTTTGTTTATATTTTATCTAACTGAAGCTTCTGAGTAATCATGCATGAGCTTCAAGCAGATGTAATCGTTTTCTTACTCTATACGTTTTTTTGTTATTCATTATCTATTCATGCTATTATTATCTATGTTTTGTAAAAGTTTATGTTTCAGAGAATGGCAACATACTATAATGTTGTTCTTTTTATAGATTTAGTTCTGTTTTCTTCGTTTAGAGTTCTTTTTAAGTAAGTGTAACTTTTGTTTTCATCATTTGAGAGTATGAATAAAAGGAACTATTTAATTATTGTAGAGTCTTAAATAACTAAAGAGATATAGATAGTTATTTTCGAGTAATAAATAGTTCTTGAGGTAACAAATTTGGTGAGAATTTTTGAACATTTGGCGTCCGCTGACTGGACTGTTATCTGTAAGTAGAATTCTTTCGTTTATTTATAATGGATGTTTTGAAGTGCAAACGATCTCAATTTAGGAGATTGTTTACAAAAGCTTTAAATGATTTTGAGAAGAATGAAAAATGATTTATCTTTAGACGGAAAAATTTCGAAACTTAAATTAGTTGAGGACAAAGCAAAACCTATGATTGAAATAGAACAGACTTATAGAGAAGAATTGATTAAAATTGAAAAAGATGAAACTGTGATAAATAATGAGTTTGATGAGTCGGAATGCTATATTGATAAGTGGAGAATGGTAGAAAGCAAATTAGTTTCGCTTCTAGCTGAAAAGGAAAACGGTTCTGTTGTTAATGAAAGCTTAACTCAAAATGCTACTATTCGTTATCCTAAGCTTAAACTCCCGATTTTTGATGGGAATATTAAAAGCTGGTTAGGATTTTGGGGCCAGTTTAAAAAGATCGATACTGATCCCAATTTAGATGATCATGATAAATTTGCATATTTATTGCAGTCTATGGAAAAAGGGTCATCTGCTGAAGAGTTAATCAAAAGCTTTCCGCCCGGTGGCGAAAGTTATAGTAAAGCTTTAGAACAACTGCAATCGCGTTTTGGGAAAGAAGACCTTCTTATAGAAGTCTATGTTAGAGATCTACTTTCGTTAGTATTATTAAAAAACTCTCAGCAGAAATTTTCATTACGAAAACTCTATGATAACTTAGAATCGAAACTTAGAGCGTTAGAAGTTCTGGGTGTTGCTAGAGATAAATATGCGGCGATGTTATATCCTCTAGTCGAATCGTCATTGCCGGATGATACATTAAGAGCATGGCAAAGATTCCGAGTTATTAATCGCAGTCAGAGAGAATCTGAAAGTAGTGAGCAAAAAGAGAAAAATGCGTCAACACATCGCATGGATTTAGATGGTTTGCTTTCATTTTTGCTCGATGAAATTGAAGGTGAAGAGAGAGTATCTATAGCTACTCAGTGCTTTACTAAATATCAGACACCTAAGCCTGGGAATGCTAAACACTTTGGTTTCAAAAACCGTGGAGAATTTTCCAAAACACCTTCTGCTTCTACTCTAATAGCAACATCTGAACAAAATTCAACTGGATGTATTTTTTGTGCTGGAAATCATGCATCTGGTGATTGCGTTAAAGCAAGAAAGATGACGTCTGAGGAAAGGCAAAAAGCAGTTCTAAATAGTAGTCGCAGTTGCTTTTTATGTTTAGACAGAAAACATGTAATAGCTAAATGTAAAAAACGAACATCGTGTGTGATTTGTGGGAAGAAACACCACATACTTTTATGTAGAAATATCCAAGCTGAATCAAAATCTCCAGTTCCTGTTAGCACGAATAAGGATGAAAATATACGGATGCAGTACCTGAACGAGATGAAACCCTCGCCAATTTGGCGAGAACAACAAATGTGTTTTTGCAAACTTTAACGGTTACATTGAAAGGGCGAGATAGAAAGCGCCAGGCCCGTGCTATTATCGATTCAGCTTCACTTCAAAGAGATCTTATATTTTAAAAAGCACTGCAGATGAAATGAAATTTGAGAGTACATCTAAAGAAAGATTGAGCCATTCATTATTTGGCGGGTCATGTACTGATGTCATAAACCACGATGTTTTTACAGTGTTCTTGTCTAAAACGGATGGAACTTATCATTGTAACTTCAAAGCTCTTAGCCAAGATATTATTTGTGGAAGTATACCACCAGTTGCTAATGGCGAGTGGATTCAAGAGCTTAAAGAGAACAATATATTCCGTATGCGACGATAGTAATGGACCAATAGAAATACTTATTGGCGCTGACATTGCAGGCAAGTTGATGACCGGAGGATTTAAATTGCTTACTTCAGGCCTTGCTGCTATAGAAACAAAACTTGGTTGGACTCTTTTCGGGAAAAATGGTATGCGTGAGATCTCGGACAATTCCGCACTGCTCGTCACATCCATGTTGAATAAGGAAATATTGATATCCGATCTATGGTCTCTAGATTCACTTGGAATTCTAGATCCATCAGAGAAGAAAAGTAAACTGGAACTTCAAGAAGAAGCAAGAGATCATTTCTTGTCTACTGTAAAGGTGAACGAAGAGGGGCGTTTTCAAGTCAGCTTGCCATGGCTTGATAACCATCTACCGTTAAAAGATAACTATGACTTAGCTGTAAAGAGATTAGCTTCTACAGTAAAACGACTAAAAGCTGAGAAACTTTATGATGCTTATGGAGAAGTTTTTAGTGAATGGGAACAAGAAGGCATCATAGAAGAAGTACCAAAAAGCGAAATTGATGTAACATGCCATTATCTACCACATCGACACGTAGTAAAAGAAAACAGTACTACACGAATCAGGCCAGTGTTTGATGCCTCCTCGGCCAAACAAAAAGGATCCCCTAGTCTCAATGATTGTCTAGAAAAAGGTCAGAACCTTATCGAACTGATTCCTTCCTTCAATTCTTCATAGATTCCGAATGAACAGAATAGGAGTTTCTCTGCAGATATACGAAAAGCATTCTTACAAATAAGTCTCAACCCTAAGGATAAAGACTATCTAAGATTCTTATGGTATAGAACTGATGGAAAACTGAAGTATTACAGGCATTGTAGGGTAGTATTTGGAGTTACAAGCAGCCCTTTCTTGCTAGTTTCTGTAATTCACCATCTTCTAGAATCCACTTTGAAACAACTAAATGGAAACCCAAAGTATAAAGTGGATATTATTGAGCAATTGAAGAAGAGCTTTTATGTAGATAATTGTTTAGCGAGTGTGAAAAAATGATTTAGAATTGCAACAATTCATACAAGTTGCTTCAGATACTTTAGCTACAAGAAAGCTAGAATTACGTGGTTGGGAATATAGTGACCCAACAGATAATTCCTCTAGTACCACAAATGTATTAGGAATGATTTGGGAACGATGTGGAGATTACCTTTGCCTTAATATTACTAACATCACCTACAATCTACTACCAGAAATTTTGTCTAAAAGAGAGATTTTAGCTACTACACACAAAATATTCGACCCTTTAGGAATAGCTTGCCCCGTAACTCTTGTGCCGAAACTTTTACTTCAGCACCTATGGGAAGTTAAGTTATCTTGGGACCAAGAAGTTGATTCAAATTCAAAATCACAATTTTGTAAATGGTTGAATGATTTGCAGTGTCTGGAAAGAATGAGAATACCAAGATGGTTAAACTGTGATCGTGAGATTGAAAATATCTCACTTCATTTCTTCAGTGATGCGAGTAAACTTGCATATTCAGCTGTGGCCTTTGTTCGAGTACAAACAAGAGATTCGGTTCAAGTTCATTTGGTGCAAGCTAAAGCGAGAGTTGCACCCAGCGGAAGGAAAAAGACAACAATAGCTCGATTGGAACTTCTTGGAGCTACAATATGTGCACGTTTAGCATCCAGCATAATACCTGAATTTCAAGCTGATGATATTTATTTTTGGACAGATTCGTCTACTGTGCTAGCTTGGATACAGAGAAATGAAGTATGGGACGTATTTGTTCACAACAGAATTAAGGAAATAAAGCAACTGACTTCTATTGAATCCTTGGAGGCACGTACCAGGATCACTGAATCCTGCTGATTTGCCCAGTAGAGGATGCTCTGCTTCTTATTTAATTAAATCTAGATGGTGGGAAGGCCCTAAATGGCTATATTTATCACCAGAAAAATGGCCAAAAGAAGATTTTAGTGCTGATGAAGAAGAAATAGCTCTTGAGAAAAAGAAAAGGATTATTTCGTCCTTAATAAATCTTAATGCTAGTGAAATAGTTGCTACTAGATTCTCAAGTTATCGTAAGACAATCAGACTGGTAGCGTGGATGTGTCGTTTTGTTTACAACTGTAAACATCAAAACAAGAAAAAGGATGAACTTACTGTATCTGAGTTAAATGAAGCAGAGAATATCTTGATTCGTTTAATACAAAATGAGTCCTTTAATGGAATAGAAGATAAACGGATTTTAAGTCTTAATCCATTCATTGATTGTGGGATCATCAGAACTAAAACAGCAATATTTCAAAGAGAAGATACATCTGAGTTCAGAACTCCTGCTATTTTGCCAAGTGATCATCCTCTTATAAAAAGTTTAATAATGGAAGAACATAAGTTGAAAGGACATGTTGGAGTTTCTCACGTCCTAAATTCCTTAAGAGAAAGATTTTGGATATTAGCTGGAAGAAGAGTTGTGTCATCCGTTTTGAAAACTTGTATAACCTGTAAGCGTTATTCAAACAAAAATGTTAACCCACCAGCGCCACCACTTCCTAGAGATCGGGTACAGGATGCCTCAGTATTTCAAATAACCTGGCATAGATTATGCTGGACCTATATTTCTAAGAGACTACAAGAAGGCATGGATTTGCCTATTCACTTGCGCAGTGTACCGTTGTGTTCATTTGGAACTGGTTACATCCTTAACGACAGATACATTTCTACAAGCGTTTCATCGTTTTTCTGCTAGACGTGGGAAGCCATCCATAATTTATACTGATAATGGAACAAATTTTGTTGGAGCATGCAATGCACTTGCTTCAATCGATTTCAATGAAATTGCAAAAAAAGGAGCTAATGAACGTATTATTTGGAAGTTCATTCCCCCAGGCGCTCCATGGTGGGGTGGCTGGTGGGAACGCCTCATAGGAATGATGAAAAGAATATTAAGAAAAGTTCTTGGGAGAGCCTGCCTTAGTTATGAGGAAATGTGTACCGTTTTTATGTAACTGTGAAGCTATCCTAAATGATAGACCTTTAACAGTTGTATCGGCTGATTCAAGTCTCACTTCCATAACACCCGGAAATTTTTTACGAGAAATACAAAACTATTCAGTGCCAATTGTGAAACATGACTTCAATTCTAACTTTTATAAACGGAGATTGCGTTATATCCAAAATGTTAACCAGGTTTTCAAGAAAAGATTTCGCCAGGAATATCTGGGAACTTTGAAAACAACAAGCAAAAAATTCGCTAGAAGTTGTGAATTAAAAGAAGGAGACATTGTCTTAATTGGAAGCGATGACAAAAGGAGATTAAATTATTAAATTGGCCTCTTGGTAAAATCATACAATTATTTCCAGGTACCGACGGTGAAAGTCGACGAGCCAGAATTAAAGTGCAAAATGGAGAAGTCATAAGAGCTGTACAAAATCTTTATCCTTTGGAATTATCGACTGCCGAGGAACTTCCATCGAAATTCAGCGGAAGTCAACGATGCGAAAATATTTCGGTAGAGCAAACTCCAATTGATGATGTACCTGTAGAAACAAATAGAATAATCCATACCCATTTAAAATCGCCCACGATAACCAAATCAGGAAGGACAATTAGAGTTCCTCATCGATTGGACTTGTGAGAACAATGTTTAATTTTTTTATTATTTTGCAATACTCAATCCCGAATTTCATATTGCAAGGTGGGAGGATGAACAATATTTTGACTCTAATATTTTTGTTTATATTTTTCTAACTGAAGCTTCTGAGTAATATTGCACAAGCTTCAAGCAGATGTAATCGTTTTCTTTACTCTATAGGTTTTTTTTTATTCATTATCTATTCATATTATTATTATCTATGTTTTGTAAAAGTTTATGTTTCAGAGAATGGCAACATACTATAATGTTGTTCTTTTTAGAGAGTTAAGTGTAACTTTTGTTTTCATCATTTTGAGAGTATGAATAAAAGAACTATTTAATTATTGTAGAGTCTTAAGTAACTAAAGAGATATAGATAGTTATTTTCGAGTAATAAATAGTTCTTGAGGTAACAAATTTGGTGAGAATTTTTGAACAACAGTTATTTATTTAAGTTTGATTTTTATGTGCACTCTTTTATGTACCTTAAGTATACTATATATTACTATATGTTTATTTTTAAGTATAATAAATTACTACCTGATAAGCCTGCCAGATCAGCGGGCTGCGGGCAAACCGAAATTTATACCTTCTATGTTCACCTCAAAAGAAAATGCATAAAAACATTTCAATATGAATGAAATCAGTTCATTCTTTCCAAGCAACAACCAAATCGTAAATAATGTTTTGTTGCCAAACCAGGAAACAAATCTTTTGACACTTCAAGTTAATACGTATATGATGTCATGATTTAAATTTAATGTAATATAACAACTTTTTTCTCAATATCAACAAAAGAATTAAAGTGGCAGTAACGTATCGTGAAAATTATCCTAACAAAAATGTTGGGAACAACAGCTATTTATTAGCATTTTATTTAAAATGCTGGCATTAACGAAATGTTTTCGACATTCAGTGACGTCACATGTAATCACGTGCTTTCTTCAACCTCAGACTATGACATAATATACTAATAACATATTTAATGTTTCGCAATGCTATTTTTATTTCATATTTTATAAAACTTTCAAATTCTTTATTAACAAGTTTCACGATTTAAAAGCGAGCAGTGGCAACACTTTTCGAAATAAAGCATTTTTATCTCTAGCAACTTCAGCGACTGTTGCCACTCCTAAAAATAAGTGAGATAATTAGCGTTTTCATAGTATTTAATTAATATCTCGTCTGATCAAAGTCGTATAAGATGAGAATGGTCGAAATGGCTTCCCACAAATTTTTGGAATCCGGGTGTATCTCTCTGGAAACTCAACTCCCCGCTGTGGCAGATAAGATGATTCCACAAACAAGCAGGCACATGTTCACAGATTTTAATAGATTATTAGTATTTAATATACTATAATTTGAATAGTCAGCATTTATACTACATACATTAGTAAATAAAATGTGTCATAAAATCGTAGATAAAATAATGAACAAATCATAAAACTGTAAAAAAAAACTGAAAATATTCATTTAAATAAAGAAGAAATTCAAAATGGTCCATCAGCTAAGCCTTGAATCATCACTCTAAAGAACCAATATCTCTCAAAAGTATCCGCCACTAAAGATGGATTGTTTTGATATGTTTTGCATACATAATCTTGACAACATCTGAACAAGAACTAGGCTACACAAGAATTAGAAAGGAGTCCAAATCTGAATAAGTAACTTGTTAAGCAGTCATGTCCGTCTTTAAATGGAATGCTCGTACAGCATGTCTTCTTTGGAAACCAGGAATTTTATGGAGTGAGCATCCCCAAGAAAATTTTTATTTGTTCGGTTTGTTTTAGTTTTATAACATTTATTCATCGTGCTTTTATAAAGCTGATAATAATACTGTACTTAAAAGAAAACTGCACAGTTTCCAACTCACTCTTCTCTCTAAAGATACCAACTCATTGCCGAAGAGATCACAGTATGAAAGCATCTACTGAAGAACAATAGTTTTATGTATAATTTTAGGAATTCCAAAATAGGTGTATAGCTATATTAAATCGTGTTGAGTCTACATTTGAATGCGAAGAAACAAATTGAATTTGTATCATGGAGTTGCTACAAGTTACAGTATTTTTAATGATTTTTACTGTTGGAATGTCGAGCTTTCAGTCGGATAGTTACTATTTTTTCATCGAAATAATTTTTTCAGGAGAGTAAAATATATGACGATATTTGAAAAGGCTTCTGTACCATCATTTCATTCTTGCACAATGGATCCAGTATTTCAAGTTATCCAGTTGATAATGTTTCTAGAGCCTGAGATTTCAGAACTATTTCGCTTGTTTTTCCTTTCTGAACTTTCTCAATAAGATGCAATAAGCTCTCCAAACGAGGGATTATTGGATCAATAGGTCTACGCAACATTTCAGGTTTCCCCGTAAGACCTAAGTTATGCTTTAATAGTATACTTTCTATAAAGTTCCAGCTTAGATTTTCGTTTTTCTTTCTTGTGACATGTCGGACTTCTTTCGGTGTGTGCTAAATGATAAACTGTAAGTTTCTCATATAAACACACAACGCTTTCTATGGATTATTACTTTTTGAGTTTTAGTCAAAATCACCACTGCTAATAAATGTGTAATCTTTACCAAAACGTACGCTAAGAATGGTTTTAAAAACAAGTTTCATTGGAGTGATACGAACTCTTTAATTCGTTATTTTACTACGAGTTGCATTTTTCAACAAAGTAAACAATTGTCAACAGTCTATTCAGAAACAATAAAAGTTTTAATAACTTGAATCTGCATTTTTTAATAACATCGGTAATAGACATAATTAAAAACATGCTTGTTTCCTATTTTTATAGGCGACCTTCATTTAAATTTTATTTTAATAAATTGTCTAAATTTCTTTTGTCACAGGTCTCTGATATCATTTAAAATGCATTTAATTTATAAAATACCCTTCTGATAATTTTTATGAAACATGTAGTATTAATGTAATTAATAAAAGGCATATTTGACACTCTGCGGAAATCTGTTTATTATTTAGTTGATCATGGGGAAATACTTGGCAGGTGTCTGCTTAGAGGAACGTCTTCATGAATAACTTTCAAAAAATTATAATCAGATGCTAATGACTGGCAATTATGTCCTATAAACATCTTAATGCTACTCGATAAAATCTCTAAAACTACACACATCGATACACTGGAGAAATACAGTTAATTAAGTAATTAAGTAATAACATTCAGATGCTCATAATTTAACAATTGCCATTTCATAATCTATCTTTTATATGAAACAAATCTTTGTAAAAATTTCACCTAATGTAATGAATTAGACTGGATTATGCGGAATATCTGAAATTCCTCTGTGTAAGATTATCTTTCCTAGAGAAGGAAAATCAGAGTAGTAAAAATGTCTAAAAGAAACAGATCCATATTAATGTTGCGCTTAACAAAAATCTTGAACTTGATAAGCACTTGATTTTTTAAATCATTTTTTAATTGCTGTCAGTGCGAAAACATTTTTCATAAGAACATATAAAAATCAAAAGATTCTGTTTAAGAATTAATTTAATTACTTTTAGTATTCAAGCTACTTTTATTATTTTTGCCTGTATACATATTATGCTAGACTGTTATAAAAAGGTCATTTGGTAAATATATTCATTTCCATTATTTATGATGTTTCTGCTTGTGCATTGATACCCAAATATGGCATAATGGACATATTCTTCTTGCTTTGAGTAGTTTTTTTAATTTTATCTAGATTTCCCTCTCTCTCTCTCTGTATATATATATATATACAAAGGGAAGGAGAGAAACTCTATGCATATGTACTCTCTCCGTCACCAGAATTCTCTATCGCCTAAAATCGGAGCCAGAATAATTAGTAAACTATATATATATATATATAATTATAGACAAAAAATAATTAATTTCGAACCATCACCACAAAGGTCTGAAAGAAATGAAATTTAAAACCAATACAATCCCGAAATTTCCCAATAAAAATATAAAAATACTCCCATCAACTCAGAGCTTTTAAACCTGAACAAATCATCAGAAAAATAGAACTACTTAAAAATACATAAAAATGGAGAACAGGAATACAATCAAAATCTGATTCAACGTTATCAAGAAGCGGTACATCAGATCGGAATTGAACTCAAATTCCCAAGAAAACCACCTGTGTTCCTGTTCATCCGAAATTAGCTGATGAACCATTTTAAATTATATAATTATTATAGCTCATCCGAAAATTTTAAATGCCTCCTCTACACAGCCGCTTTCCTTTCCTATGAAATGATAATACATAAATACAAATTTAAATGAAATAAATTCAGTTTTCCTAATAAAGCAAAACTAATACATACAACTTACTAATATGAAAATCCAAATTAACAAAGAAAGAAACTCAAATTGGAGAAAGGTACGCTAAGGGTTGCTTGTGTGCCGCTTTTGTCGACAGAAAATTTTAAATCTCCCAAAACGTAAAATTATAGTAATTTTTTAAAATTTAAAATGGGAAAGCATTAAAGTAATGCAAGAAGGGAAACGAAATAAAGGACGAATGTCAGTAAAGAATAAAATTTTCAATCCCTTAGCTTATCATGACGACTTAGAATAAAGTAGGCCTTCAGTTAATAAAAGTCAAGACAATTGTACACTATATGCATGACTACAAACTGCACTATAAACCCTTTTAATTCATCCTTCCTTTATCATTCTCTTATTTGAGTCTGCAGATAAAAAACTTAAAATATTTATAGGGTGTAGACCACTCCTGCGTTTTTAAGTTGACTGTTAATGAAGTTTATTGGAATTTCATTTCTAGTAATATTTTAGCAAGAAGAAGAATCTCTTGCTGCTGTTGTTCAATTTTGGGGCCTACGTTTCTAATTCTGGCAATTTGATTAAAACTTATATTTTAAATAACTTTTTTAGAGATGTTGATATTCCAGTTTACAAGTTGAATTGCTGAAAATTTTAATTCTCTTCTTTCAAACAAAAAGTTTTACTTCATTTAGATTACAAATGCTTATATCAAGGTAATCTACGA